CTGAGGCACAGAGAAAGGAACACCTTGCCCTAGGTCTCACAGTCAGCTGGTGGCAGGCTAGGCTCAGACTACCAGGCTGAGAACCTTCTCAGTTCCATCTTGCAGGAAAGGGTTTGACATCCATCTAAAACATGGTTGTTAAATGCATTTCAGAATCTTGGGACTTTATTTCGATCTAATAATATAATTCTGCAAATAATAATCCTTGAGATATACCCAAGCAATTAGTTCAAGCACTATTTTATAAAGTTTTTAGACCGGTTATAAAAGGAATGAAACTGTACTTTAAGGAACTTAGACTTTAGCTATTCGTCTGTTTATTATTTTATTCTAAAGTATTTTTGCAAGACTCAACTGCTTTGGCAGGGCATGGGGAAATGCAGGTATTAACTACTATTATCATAACTATCTGACAAAGCAATTAATTATGCAGACCTTCACCCATACTTTCTAGGAGCAAAAGCTTCATACCATCATTCTCCAAAGGTGAGCAGCTTCACAATAAGATATTCATATGAATCATTAAGAGCTATATTAAACCCTTCTCAGAGCTTCAGAGTCATTATCTAAAAGAAGATTTAGCTTGGGCTTAATTAGAGGAGAAAATAGATGGCTATGTAACACTTAATATTTTCCCCTTCTTTAAACAATACTGGTCTTGGACCACATTTCCTCAGAGGATCCTCCCATACCTTGGAGAGTGGTATGTGCAGAGATGCACTGATCCTCTATAATAATCTCTGTATCTGTAAGGATATGGTTAGAGACATGTGTAGTGGCATGTACCTGTGTAATCGCAGCACACAGGAGGCCTGAAGTAAAAGGATAAGGAGTTTTGAAGCTAACCGGCTATATAAGGAGACTCTGTCTCAACAAAACAAAGCAATGTGTTCAGGGATGCTGTGGAGATGGCTCAGTCACTGAAGTATTTTCCATGAAAGCATGGGGACCTGACTTTGATTCCAAGCACTCATGTAAAAAGATGGGCACCCAAGTGTACACCTGTAATCCCAGCACTCGAAGTGGAGACAGGTAGATCCCTAGAGTTCATTGACCAACCAGTCTAGCCAAATTGGTGAGCTCCACATTCAGTGAGAGACCTTGTCTCAAAAAATAAGGTGGGTGGGGCTAGAGAGATGGCTCATAGGTTAAAAGCACTTGTTGCTCTTCCAGAGGACCAGAGTTCAGATTCCCGTCCAACACCCATACCCATGTCAGTCAACATGCAACCATCTATAACTGCAGGTGAAGGGTACCCAACACCGTCTTATGGCTTCTTGGAGCACCAGCACACATATGTATATATTCACACAGACACTAGCACATATATGCACATACACATAGACACACAGCACATATGTGCACATAATCACACAGACACCAGCACATATGTGTAGACACACCTAGACACCAGCACACATGTGCACATACAGAGAGACACAGAGCACATATGTGCACATATTCACAGATACCAGCTCACATGTGCACACAGATATACAAACATACACATAAATAAAAATAAGGTGGAGAATCATGAGGAAGATACTTGACATTGACCTGTGGCCTACACACACACACACACACACACACACACACATATACCACACATATGCACAAATACACATGCACCTACACCAAGAATGTGTTCAAGCCTCTTCGCCTCTTCTATTTCTGTCAAGCAGTGGGCTAGCATTGGCTTTTGTCTCTCAAAAATCTGCCCTAGAAAGGGTTTATCTGGTTTACATCCCAATTACAGTTCATCACTGAGAGAAACTAGGGCAGGAACTCGGGACAGGAACATGGAGACAGGAACTGAAGCAGAGACCATGGAAGATGCTGCTTACTAGCTTGCTCCTCTAGCCTGTGATCAGCCTGCTTTCTTATATGACCCAGGACTACCTGCCCAGGGATGACACTCCCCTCAGTGGGATGGGCTCTCCCACATCACTCAACAAAAAGGAAGATGCCTCACAGACATGCTCACAGGCCAGTCTGATAAAGGAAATTTCTCAATTGAAATTCCCCTTTCCAAGGCGTGTCAAGTTGACAACTGAAGTTATCCTGCAGAACTGACCCCCTGTCAACTTGACACAGAAACATATACTATGAAACCATCACCTTTTCATTTCTTGTCCCCAAGATCTCAATGTTAATATTAATATCACAATATAAAACATAGTTCCACTTTAACAGTCCCACAGGCCTTAAAAACTCCAATACTTTAGAAGTTCAGTGTCTAAAACACTGCAAGTCGCTCAACTGTGGGCTCCTGTAAAACAAAAAACACAACACACTTTCTTATTTCAAAAGGAAAGAACCAGGCACACTTAAATAAAACCAAAGTCCAGTGTAGCAGCATAGACACACATATATACACATATATGTACAGACACAGGGACACACATGCACACACACACACACACACATACACACACACACATGTGTCAGGGGATTCTAAAGTAAGTGTGTTTATAAACATGCCCCAGATCCCCAGGAGAAGGAATATAGTGTTTTCTCATTGTAAAGGCTTGATAATATGCTGGTTTTAAGGATATTGCAAATCACTGCTGTCTTAGTTTGTTCTTCGTTGCTGTGACAAAACACTCTGACCAGTACCAACTTGGGGAGGAAAGGGTTTATTTGTCTTACATCTCCCAGGTCACACGCAGTTCACCAGGGAGCCCAAGGTAGGAACTCAGGGCAGGAACTTAGAGGCAGGAGCTGGAGCACATGGAGGAAGGCTGCTTACAGGCTTGCTCCCTTGGCTCCTGTTCAGCCTGCTTTCTTATGCAACACAGGC